AAAAAAAAAAAAAAGAAAAAAAATTGAATATAATGATGGTTATCAAATAAAACTTTTCCTGAAAGTAAATTTAGCTAAATACAATTTTATGTATTTTGTGGGTAAATCTATTATATTTCCCTATTTAAAACAGTAAATGTCTTGTTATTTTAAGAGTATCCAATTGTTTCAACATTAAGCTTTTAATGCATTAAAGCATATTGTTTTTTCTTTTTAAATAATATTTTCTGATTTTGAAAAATAGCAATGCATTCAACTTTTGGTGTGTTTTATTTATGTGAAATTATAGCATACTTGGTGTATAATTTAGAATACTCTCTAACTTCTTTCCTATAGCCCAGATGGTCACATATCCAAGTTCAAATTTAATTTTAGAACCACACTCCATTAAACATCACTAATTAAAAAAACTATGTTTCTAAGACTTGTAAAATTTATTTTATAAAATGATACACTCTCATGTTGTGTAAATTGAATGCTAAAGAGCAATAAGTAGTTGCAAATTCAATTTGTAGTAATAGAAACTATCTTTTTGTCGTTGTGATTGTTGTTATTATTTATTTAATGTATTTTATTGTTGAGGATTCATTGAGCATGCAGAGAACCAGGTTACACTGATTGCATTTGTTAAGTAAAGTCCCTCTGACAATTGTGTCCTCTGAGAAGTGTGTCACCCACCATGACCCCCCATCCTCTCTCAGCTCTTCCCTCCCCCACCCCCAGCAGGTGATCACTTGTCCTCATATTATAACTGAGTACATTGGAGTCTTGCTTCTTCATTCTTGTGATGCTTTACTAAGAATGTGTTCCACCTCCACCCGGGTTAATACAAAAGATGTAAAGTCTCCATCTTTTCTAGTGGCTGAATAGGATTCCACAGTATACATACATATACCACAGCTTGTTAATCCATTCTTGGATTGGTGGGCGTGTAGATTGTTTCCACAGTTTGGCAATTGTAAATGGAGCTCTGATAAACAGTCTAGGGCAAATCTCCTTATGATAAAAGGAGCCCACTAATGAGATTGCAGGATCAATCCTAACCCCAGTGAGAATGGCCCACATTACATAATCTCAAAGCTACAGATGCTGGCTGTAAGAGAAGACAGAGGGGAACACTTTTACACTACTGGTGGGACCGCAAACTAGTACAACCTTTTTGGAAGGAAGTGTGGACAAGCCTCAAAGAACTCAAAATAGAAACTATCTTAACAGATTCTCTTAGATAACATCTTAGGCAGGGGAGATGGCCTAATTTAAAGTGTGTATTTATTTCATTCATTCATTTATTCATTCATATATATCTTACCTAGGACATCAGTTTTCAGGACTTCAGGAAATATCATTCTTCTAGAAATACAATGTAAATTTTACAAAGTGAGCTATCCCAACTTCATCCCATTCCAGAACAATTTGGCATAGCTTTCTTCGGAGTATTAGGAGGCAAATTAAAATGTAAGAGTTTTAGGATTCAGGGTATAGAGATGTCCTAAGTAAATTTCTCTATTTTCTATCTCTTTCTACCATATGGAAAGTGAAAGTTTATACTGAATCACTTTTAAGCATCAGGATGGGGAACAAATATGCAGATGAATAGTTGAACTATAGACTCCTCCTAGCAGAGAAAGACTGACAGAAGTTCAAATTGGTGTGAACTTCCTGTGTGAAACATGAAACCAGAGAGGTTTTTGATGTAAAAATAGGATTTAGGGTTAGATAGAAGGAATGACCTAACAAATATCTAAGTATAATATAAAAATGTGATTTAATAATTACTGATAATATTTAAATGTCTCAATAACATTATAGGTAGCAATAAAAGATTGAAAGTTTACAAATTGTATCTAGAAATTAATGTAATTGCTTGTAAATTTTGTTCAGACATACTTCTCTCTCCCTCTCTCTCTCTCTCTTTTTTTTTTTTAATGGGGAATTCAGGTTTGAAAGCTAAACCTCAGGTAAAGAAATTACTTTCTCGGTTAAACCATATAATTGAACTATGTACCTGCTGCCACCTTGTGGTAGCCTGTCCTTAATTATTTATTGTTATCGTCTCCATTTAGACACAAAAAGAGAAAAGAATTATGATTCGATTAGAAAACTATTAGAAAAGTAAAATTTCTGAGAAGTGACCTGGAATGTTAAACCTACACTTCCATGAAGGAAGAACTAGCACAGAATTGTCATCTGGAGATGAGGAATAAAATAATGGAAAGTTCTCATGAAGAAAATACCCTCGGAGGTGTAAAACCATGTTTTTTCACTTTCAAACTTACTACTTCTTATTTTCTTTTGAAGATAAAAACTATTAATGAAAAGCTTACAATTGGGAAGATTTCAAAGTACTGGTCAGGCTTTGTAAATGACGTCTTCACAAATGCTGACAACTTTGGAATTCACGTGCCGGCTGATCTGGATGTGACAGTCAAAGCAGCAATGATCGGTGCTTGTTTTCTCCTGGTAAGTACAGTCATCTTTGGGGACTTATTTTTCTCTTGGTCTTCTATGGGGACTTATTTTTCTCTTGGTCTTCTATGGGGACTTATTTTTCTCT